CAGAGCTGCATCAAAGCTGGGATCTGGGGACACAATCCAGGTCTCCCACATGGATAACAAGGACTGAACTACTTGATATCACGTCTTCCTTCCAGAGTCTGCATTGCAGGGTGCTGGAATCAGGAGCCACAGCTGAGTGTCGAGTGCAGGCACTTCAATATGGAATAGGACATCTAAACAAGATCTTAACCCCTAAGCTACGTCCCCTCCCTCTTCTGCTCAATTTAATTCTGACACTAACCGGAGTTAGTGTGGACAGCACAAGCTAAGGACTCAGTCACACAAGACTATTCCTCTCACTTCAGACACAAATTCGAGAAGCATGTTCCTGGACTACCCACAACTGATTTCCAGCTTAACTACAAATCAGAGGTTTCCATGGCTCACATCTCAGGTTCAGTTTTCTAAAGCAGCTCACAGAATCCAGAAAAAACAGCTTACTTAGTACTGCTGATGTGTTACCTGTGATATTTTAAGGAATACAAATGAACAACCAGATAAAGAGATACCAAAGGCGAGTTTTGGGAAAACCAAACATAGGAGTTTATGTCCCAATACAGATGGGTGTGCAACAACCCTGGCCTGGAAGACTTCCGAACTCCATATTTTAGAGAGTTTTGTGGTGTCTTCATCACATGGGCATGATGGCTTATTAACTCTATTTCCAGCCCTGCTCTGTTCTACAGAGAATGGGGTGGAGAAAACAAAATCTCTAGTTTCTAATCATGGCTTGGACTTTCTGGTGACCAGTCCCCAGTGAGGATCCCAATAAGAGTTGCCTAAATAGAACAAAAACGCTCCTGTCATACATGAAATTCTCCATGTCATGTGTCCTTATTGGAAATCACAAAGCTTTCTGCTAGCACACCAGTCAGAGAGTTGATTTAAATCACAGGTGCCCATAAAGAACTTCCCTGCGTTTTAGAGTCATAAGATTCCCATACAACTTAAGCTTTTGGTATTTTGCATGTCCTTCAAGCACTTACTTCATGAATTCATCCAGTTTCTCTCATATCTGGATGCAGATATTAGCCTGGTGTAAATATTTCACCTGTTCAGGAACTGGAATTTAAGTATGATTTGTATGTGTAAAAGTTATGGTAACTACATTAAAATACAAATATAAATGAATTCTTGACATTTATAGAAAAGCATCCAGAAGATTGATCAGACTTTTCAGTGTTTGGTTACCGTATAGATAGCTGTATAACTTTTACAAACAGAAAAAAATATATAATCATAACATTGGTGACTATAAGAATATGCAAGCCTCTTTTTTATTTTCATTTTGAAATTAAAAGTCTCTTTCATAGAACTCTCCTGTTGCTCAATTGCCTCACCTAAAGGGACCAGATGTGTATTCCTCCCAGAAGTTCACACTCTCTCAGGATGAGCTAAAGGAGTCTTGATCCATCCAGAATACGATGGCTAACACAAGTGACAAGGAAACAAAAAGTACCACACAGTTACTTATGCTGAACTCCTGAACTAGAGCTGAAGAAATCAGATTTGTTAAATTTCAAAGTAAAAATCATTTTCTCCTTGCTTGTCAATTTGAAACAATAAGTATTCATTCAAGACCTCTCGTGTCAGCAAATTCCAGGGACCGACAAGCATACATGCAATCCTGCTGTGTGCAGACAGCAGAAATTGGAGGCTGACAAAGATAAAAAAATTATACTTAGGATTATTGGGTATAGTTCTAAAATAGAAAAGAGGGGCATGAACTTGGTGTAGCAGTTAAGCTCTTGCTAGGGACAAACTCATCCCATATCAGAATTCCTGGATTCAGATCCCAGTTATGCTCCAGATTCTTGCTTCCTGCTAACACATATCCTAAAGGGGAGCAGGTGACAGCTAAAATATTCAGGTCCCTGCCACCAACGCTGGAAACACTGAGTTCCCAGCTCCTGGCTTTAGCCTAGCCCAGCCCTGGTTTTTGCAGGCATTTGAACAGTTAACCAGTATAGGAGAGCACGCTCTCTCTCTCGCTCTCTCGCTCTCTCTGCTCTCTCACTCTCAATCTTGTACTTGCTCTCAGTCTCGCTGTCTCCCCCCTCGCCCTTCCTCCCTGCCTCTCCCTCTCTTGCTGCCTTTCCAATAAATAACATAAATAAAACTAATTTAAAAAAACAGGAAAGATATTCATAGATACCTCAGTGATTTGCCCTTGCAACCAGCCTGCACTGTTCCAATCATTTTATAAAATTTTTAACTTAATACAGCAAATGTATGAACTAGCCAATGTTATTAATATTTAAGTTGTTTGCCATATGATGTAAAAGAGGGTGACTAATTTGTGCGAAGGTGAACACATTATTTAGTGAGTGGTGGATTCTATGATGCCTGATTCTAGGCACTTGCATTTAAGCTCTGCACCCCTCTCTTGTCCAGTCCCTCTCCCTCCAGTAGTGCCTAATCATTAGTTCCGAACTGAGGGGCATTTCTTTGTACTTACTGTGTGTCCCTTCAATATGGACATATTAATTAAGTGGGTTGGACCCAGCAGCCCTGAGTTGTTTGGAACTGAAGGCTGAATGGCCATCCTTTTTCTGTTTGTTTTTGCTTTTTTTTTTTCCTCTCCATCCCTACAGTTCATTCAGAACTATTCTCCCGCCTCCTGTGCTTTTTTTTTCCCTCTCCATCCCTACAGTTCATTCAGAACTATTCTCCCGCCTCCTGGGCTATTGTGAGGCTGTCTGGATTGCATCGCAGCTCTGCAGTGCTATTGTCTTAAGCTACCTCCCCTCTTTTCACCCTGGATGCTCAGCCAAGCGTGGTCTGGTGCACCCCAAAGTGTGGACCAACCAGCACCCCCATGCCACCCTGCAGACTGTGGTACTCAGAAGGACCTCTCAAGCCAGGTCACAGCCCCTGGGGCTCTCAGGGTTTTTTTTTTTTTAATTTTTTTTTCTTTTGGGAAAAATAAGACTCCATTTAGCCAAATTAATAGAAAAATGATCAGGTATATATTCTCAGATTATGAAAAAATAACACCAATACCAGGGATGGAGCAGGGGGATGGGGCAGGAATATGGACAAAGGCAGTCATGAAGACAGTAATTTGGCCAGAATGGGAAATAGTTCCTTATTTCTTTCAAGAAGCACTGAACGATAGCTCCCGTTAATTCACATGCTATTAAAAATCAGGGGATGAGGTTTTAGTTTGTAACACTATATATGAAAAGTCATCATTATAAATCTATAAGATATGGCCATTATGAAATGATAGGACATGGACATGAATGGGAGCCATAGAGGTTGAGATTTTAAAGCAACAGTCACAACTTTTTAGCTGCAAAGCTTTGGTCAGGTTCAGAGACATTCTACTTCTCAGTTCCCTGGTGTGCAAAGAGACTAATGGTCTGCATAGGACTTCAACCACAGCAATCAGGTGTCACTAGTCCCAGGTGAGTAGTCAAATCTTAAATCTGTGATTGAAAACAAAATTCAGTTTTTTGGTCACTCTAGCCACATTTCAAGTGCTCAAGAGTCACGCACTGCTAGCTGCTTCTATGGATAGCATATTTAAAAGTTCTTCACAGAAAGTTTCAGTGGGAAGAGCTAGTGTATGAAAAGATGGTCAAATATCATTTAGAGAAAGTTCTGGGGACATTTCACCATTAACAAACAAACAGGTGGACCTAGACCCGGGTAGGTCTAAGTCTTTGGAATTGTTTGCCAATTTGTGAAGCGCTTGATAGATGTGCCCGAGATATGTACTCCTAGTCTTTTTCCCATAATAAATAAAGGGCTGTCAAAGGAATCCTCATTAACAAACACATTAGGAAAAGAACAATGTATTCCAGAGAGTTCAAGTGAGTCAGACTTTGGAAAATCTAGCATCAAAACAAAAACTCAGTAACTGTGTAATGGAAAAAAAAGACAAAAATTATTAAAATTTCCTAGGTTGATGATGGAAAAGCAGCAATATTCTCAGATGACCGCCAAATTTTAAAAAGTTTAATTTAAAAAAAAATTGAGCATTCCTCTGCCTATTCATTAATTATCCTCAATTATATCTTGGTCTTCCTACATAAAAATATGTTAATATTACTTTACAACCTTAATTACCTAAATTTCTATAATAGTTAACTTTTAATGTTGTTATAAATTTTTTAATATAAAATGTTTAAATATAAACTGAAGATCTATTTCTGTATATACACAAAAACATGCACACACAATAGACACTCCAGATTTTTATATATTGTATTTTTATCCAGGGTCTTTGCTAAATGTACTTATTAAATCTAAAAGCAAATCTGTAATTTAGTTTCTATTTTCTGCTGCCTTCCATCAATAATCCCTTTCCAGTTCTAACATTTTTTATTTTATGCTTGCCCAATTGCACAAGCCAGGGCTGACAATAATAAACATAAGCTCTAATGCCTTTATATTTTTGGAGGAAATATTTTAAAAGCTTTAAATTAGAGGATTATATGATTCCATGTGTAATTTATAGATTTATATGCATATTTCTTATGCTTTTCTTATTTTTATTGATATGTTCTAGACATATGCCCATATCTAATAAATTTAAAAGAATGACTTAATCTTGTTCCTGATATCCTTTCATGATTTTTTTAATGTCTTTTGTTAATTAGTGATATCACTTTAAAAATTTCTAGTCTGGGTTATTCGAACTTTGTTCGTTTTTTCTCAAGTAATTTGGTACAAATTTATATTTACTTAATTAGGATTTAATTTGATGACATGGATAAATGTGTCATAAATATTCAGACTTTTTCACTTTAGAATGGAAATTTAAGTTATAAAAATTTCCCTCTAAGAAACTTATTCTAGCAAATACAATTCGTCAGCACATCCTAACACGGAAGGATTAATTATGAGACAAAGAATAAATCAAATGTTTGAAATGCTGGAAGTGCTAATGATCACATTCAGGGCATTAAAGGGAGAGGGAGCATAACCTCCTTAGAAACGCAGAGAGCTCTCCTGTAACATTCAGCAGACAGCCGCGCGCCCCTGAGCAAAGCAGCAGCACAAAGACAGTGACTGTGAAAGGAAAGGGAAGAAAGCAGCTCTCACCGTCAGGGCAGCGGCCGAGCCTGAAAAGCTGTGCTGACCCCGCAGCCTCAGCCTCGCTCGCTGGGCGGAGGGAACAAAGGCCACCAAGAATTAAACCAGCCGGGAAGAAAAGCCGGGTCGCGCCGGGGGCAGGAGCCTTGCAAGTCCCACAAAGGACGCCCTCGGCCGGGGCTGACAGCCTCAGCCACACGTGCTCCCTGCTCGCGTTTCCTCCAGCAGCCCAGGCAGACCCTGCAGCAAACAAAGACCCCAAGAAACGATGTCTGGTGGCCGCCGCGCAGCGCACAAAGCCCCCGCAGGGGCAGCCAGGGGGCAGCGGGACACCACAGTGGAGACAATGCGCGGTGCGCAGACAAAGGCGGTGTAAAATCCACGCAGGGCATGCTTCAGAAACTGCAGGATTAGCCCATCAGCACGTGGAGAAGCAGCGAGGATCGTGAACTTTCTTTACGCAGACACGTTTGACAAATAATCAGAAGTGCATGGCAGAAACTAAAGACATGGAATTAAAACCTCATCTGCCAGAGGAGACAGTGTGGGAGGGGGGCTTGGGGTCTGCGGGAAAGCAGCAGAGCAGGGAGCGACGCCAGAGGAGGGGGCGCGGAGCCCGCCTTTGCCTGTGTGAACAAAGGAGCTGTCAGATTGGTCGGCCGTGGAGACCCGGCGCCGCGCGCTGCCGGTGCCACCACAGGAAGTGTCCGCCACGCTGCCTGCAGGGGAAAGAAGGTAGGAACACACAGTCACAGGGAACAGAGAGTGGGGGAAAGGAAAAAAAGGTGCACACTTCCCCCAAAGACACCTCCGTGACCGTCCCGAGCTCCAGGGCTCAAGCCCAAAAGGAGACAGCACCGGGGAAGTTCCCGAATCGTTTCTGGGAGAAGAAGCTGCCATGGAAGAGCCTGCAGCTCCCTCTGGTGCCCAGGAGGCATCTGGGGCCCAGGCAGGGGCTGAGGCAGCAGGGGAGGGTGCATCTGGGCCCAGCCTCCCTGAGTGTGAGACCTCTGGGGAATCTGTGGCTCCAGACACAGCCCCTGCTCGCGCGGCCTTGGGCCTAGTCCCTCTCCGTGTGGCTCCCAGCCCAGCCCATCTGCGGATGGTGGGCCTGAGGCACGTCCAGGCCGCAAGGGGAGGGGCCAGGCCCAGTCACCTGCCGAGCCGGAGCACTGGCAGCTGGACAAAGCAAGTCGTCTGCAGGTATTATCTGCATGGGCTGTGCAAGGAGGGGGAGAACTGTCGCTACTCTCACGACCTTTCTGGCAGGCAGGTGGCCCGAGAGGGCCATGGCGCACCGCCCCGGGCCTCTGCAGACAGAGGCCCCAGCATGGCTGCGCCCAGCCAGCCCCCAACTCAGGAAGTGGCGGAAGCCGCCCCTGCTGCATCCTCAAGCTCCTTGCCTCTGATTGGCTCGGCTGCTGAAAGGGGTCGCTTCGAAGCCGAGTTGGAATGCGCTGGTCAAGGGGCTGTCGGAGGATCAGGTGTAGAAGGCTGGGAAGAGGCCGTTGAGTTTGTTCCCGGGCAGCCCTACCGGGGCCGCAGGGTCGCTTCTGTCCCCGAGGCTCCTCTACAGAGCTCGGTGACTGAGAGAGAGCAGATGGCTGTGGGCATGGGGCAGCAGATGGCTGTGGGCATGGGGATGCAACTTTGCCCTCACGCTGCCAGGGGACAGTGCTTTCGTGGGGAGAGCTGTATGTACCTCCACGGAGAGATATGTGACATGTGTGGGCTACAGGCCTTGCACCCCTTGGATGCCGCTCAGAGGGCAGACCATAGAAAGGCCTGCGTCGAAGCACACGAGAAGGATATGGAGCTCTCGTTTGCCGTGCAGCGCAGTATGGATAAGGTGTGTGGCATCTGCATGGAGGTTGTCTATGACAAAGTCAACCCCAGCGACCGCCGCTTTGGCATCCTTTCCAACTGCAACCACCCCTTCTGTCTTAAGTGTATCCGTAGGTGGAGACGTGCCAGACACTTTGAGAACAGGATCGTCAAGTCCTGCCCACAGTGCAGAGTCACCTCCAACTTTGTCATTCCCAGTGAGTTCTGGGTGGAGGAGGAGGAAGAGAAGCAGAGACTTATTCAGCAGTACAAGGAGGCGTTGAGCAACAAGCCTTGCAGATATTTTGCCGAAGGCAGGGGCCACTGCCCGTTTGGAGAGCACTGCTTTTACAAGCATTCATACCCTGAGGGCCAGGGAGAGGAGCCTCAGGGGCGGGGTGGTGGACCGTCGGCCGCATACTGGCATCAACTTTCGCAGCCTGTGCAGCTGGGAGAGGGCAGCCTGCTCTTTAAAAGCAGTAAAAAGGAGCTTGTCACGCTTCGGCTGGCCAGTCTGTTGTTTAAGCGGTTTCTTTCACTGAGAAACGAGTTCCCCTTCTCTGAGGAGCAGTGGGACTTGCTTCATTATCAGCTGGAAGAGTATTTCAACTTGAATCTGTAGTATCCTGCCACACTCTGATCAAGTCTGCTGGGGCTTTGTCGTCTGCTGTTGGCTGTTTTCCCTTTATTGACATGCCTGTCACTTTCAGGGGCTGTGGTGGCGACTTTTATGCAGTGTTTCTCTGTTTTCTTGTCTATGCCCCGAATCTTTCCCCTAGGGTAATGGTGGTTTCATGTGTTAAAAAATAGTAAAGAATCCTTAAAGTTACTGTTTGGTGGAGCTAATATGACTGTTGCTTTGTGGGGTTTTTGTCATGTCTGTTTTTCAACAAAGTTCACTCAGTCCTAGTCTAGTGTTTACAGAATTTCTACACTCATTTTGAAGTCCCTCAAGAACAAATGTGACAGGGTGAAAGGGAAGTCTTAACTGGAAGCTTTTTGCTACAGTAGCCTTAAGAAGTGGACACTCGCAGGGCCTTGCTTGTTTTTGTTTGTTTACATCACTGCTCCTTCTGGCATCTCTTAAAGTGCACTTGTTAACTTGTGGTTACTTTGTGATTTCGTGTTTTACTTGAACAAAACCAGGTGCAAATGTTTACATGTTTTTATCCTGTTCAACTTGATGTGAAGTTATTTTATTTATATTTGGAAGTATGTGCTTAAAAGTGATATATTATATATGCATATTTGTGTATATTAGCTCTGTATTGGAAAATTTATATAAAATATACATCGTGATGTATATGTTTGCATAATAAAATAAATGCAGAGATGAAAGCTGAGGTCAAGGGATAGCAGGCTTGGCTGCTGTGTGAATAATCTTTCCCTTGCACAGATGTCACTTTTTAGCACCTAATGAAAACTGTTGTTCAAGTGTAATGCCAAGTGTAACAGATACAAGTCTTAAAGGATATATGAAACATGACATTGGTAATTCCTATGACCTCACTGTGCTGTTATAAATACAGAAATGTGTACTTCCATGCAGTAGAGCCAACAGCTCATTCATTATAACATAAAATCCTGAGCTCAGACATACAGTTGTTCATTTTCATTTTTTAAATATTATTTTTATACTTTGAAAACGGGCTTTTCATAAATTTATCAAAATAAAGGTAATAAGCATACAACATGTAAAATAGAATAAAATACTAAAACTAGTTAGGATATAAGATTGGAAAGATAAAAGAATAAGAGATATCAAGGACACCAAAATTAAATACAGTAGTAATATGGAAGAGTTATAATGCAAACACATCAAAATTAGATTAAATGAAAGTAGTTCAAAAAGTAAAAGTCCAAAGTTATCAGATTTGATTAAAATTAAACTATATATATATTTAAAATAAACTGTGAACATGCATAAAAATTAAAGTAATAGAATGGGAAACAAACGAAGCAGAGGTGCTATGACTCTGTCATGTACAGAATGCCTGTTAAGGGTGCACACATTGCTGGAGATAAAAGAGAAATGATACATAACCATTACATTAGAATTCACCAGGAATATAAAACTATTCAATCTTTTTTTACTTGACAGTATTTCACCAGACACATAATTGATAAAGAAATGCAAAATCCAAACAGAATGGAGCTAAAATAGTATATTTGAGAACAGTTGTACTTACCCTGCTGCCTCTACCCCCACATGCATGACCAGAAGCACTTATTGAAGATGCAGTGTGGCCTTTGCATGGCTGATTCAGCCAGGGCAGGCAGGGATGCAGGGAAATAACTGCTACAGAGTTGAGAGCTTTGGCTCCTTCATCAACAGGCTGTCAGATTCAGTGTTTCTTAGTCCATTTCTCAGAATGTGCCTCAACCTCCCATATTTTTACATTCTCTCCTTTTGTTAATAATACTGCTTCTCTCGAGAAAGTACCTCAGCCTGATTCAATTCCCCCCCCCCTTATATTTCTTCCCTCTTGATTCCTTTTAGCCAAAGAATCCCTCAAGTCAGGATACCCTGTATGTCTGCCTGTTCCCCTGTTCATGCAGGAAGAGTATATCTCAAATGACCAAAGAATAGGACAGATGGGGCATTTTCCAACTGTTGAAAGTGAGCTGTGGAATGTAAATTTTAATTATTTCATCTGTATAGGTTATACAAATGTCTTGAAATATCATACCATATCTCATAAATACATGCAGTTATTACATGTGCGTAAAAATGTGTAAGCACCTCACAGAATGTAAAAGAAAATCAGATTATAAAAACAGTTTCTCTAGTGACTAAGCCATCAAGAGAGGGGGTTTTAAAGCAGTCTGGAAAGCTCTGGAAATTTTATCATAGTATATGCTGCCCAACATTATAAAATACATTTTTACTGAAATAGTATCTTGCACCAGTCGTAATAAATTTCAGGAGATACAATCTGGTAAGGATTAGTAAATCATAAAAGTGGTTCAGGAGACAAAGGATAATTAGAATCTTGATTCTACTTCTTAATGACCATTCAGTGTAAGCAAGTTAATTAAATTTTCTATACCTCAGTTTCATCATATAAGAAATGGGACAATGCCACTTATTTTTGCAGGATTTTTGTGAGATTAAAAGAAGTTGGATCAAAGAGCTTGAAATACAGATATGTTTAAGATGGTGTGCATGAAAGTGACAGGTTTGTGTACTGTGGTCCAAAGAAGTGATTGTGCAGGATTAATACTCCCAGGTTTTTTCTTTGGGTGAATCATTGGAACATGTGTAAAGGAAACATCACTTTGTGTTATTTGCATATGCACGAGACATAGTAACCTCATATTCATAATAGCAAGAAGACTGAGTGTTTTCTTCAGCAAAAATCGTTCAGTTAAAATTTAAAATATGCTATCCAGTTAATTAAAATATAGCAAACCAATAAAGAAATGTGTTATTAGTGGCAGATGCCTGTATGAGGAAAACAAAGAAAAAATCAGGAAACTTTTTGTTCTCTCATTAGCTCACTTAGAAAGAGGTCAGATAAAAAAAAAAAAGTTAATGCCATCCAGACTGCAGTGTTCCCTCGCACTTTCCCATGAAAGCAGCTGGGCGACTGCCGCTGCAATCAGGAACAAAGGCAGCCGCGCCACACAAAGGTTTGCTCTGGGAGTGATTCAGAGCGCAAGCCAGCCCCTGCCCCTACAAGGACTCTGGGCCCCGAGGTCCATACATCAGCACTATTCCAACTGAAGCAGACAAAGCCTGATAAAGCCCATCTGATTTGTTTATGCTTTATGAGCCTAAATGCAGAGATGCGTTAAAGGAAATTTACCTGGTAATCCCTCCTCTCAAACAACTTGTCTTACAGCTCAGATGTCATTAAATGCAGTTGCTGATTTTCATTGATTTAAAGCAAAACATTTCCAGCCCACAGTCAGTTCCGTAGCTCTTTCATTTTACATTTCTGTAACCGTCCTGGGGGTGCAGTTTCTGTTACCTCAGTGGATGCTAAACTACTGCTTGAATGTGGATTGGAGTTGGAATGTGGCTGGGGTAAAGATTATTTGGGAAATAATACAGCACCATACAAAAAGGTAAATTGATATGTGTCAGAAACTACACCATGGAAATATACATTGTATGTCACATTTTCCAGTATTGATGGAACATTAACAAAACAGATAATTATGTAATAATCACAGTGATGTCATCAATTAAATTGAGAAATCAGAAGCAGTAAAGGCACCATTCTCTGGTGTTAATATAAAAAAATAAGTCACCACAACCTGAATTTTTAAAAAGTTATCTCTTACAACTAATATGATGAAAGAGGAAATACTAAATCATTTAAAAAGATAAAACGTGATATTGAAAATTGTAATCTAGAGGGTAATTTTTTTCTGTACTCAGGATAACATGTTTAAGTTTAAATACCATTATACTAATACATTGTCTAGAAAGACAGCATACTTAAATAGATATCCAAGTGTACATATTTAAAGAGATCACAACATGAGTGCACACAATACACACACATACATGTAAACAAAGTAAATGGGAGAAATTAAAAGTGGGTCAGAAAACATCAGAAAATAGAAATATAAATCCTGATTCTTTAGGAAGAATATAAACAGATCACTAACAGTCAAAAACAAGGAAGACAATTCAATTAAAGGAGAAAATCACAAGTCTTCGGAGATAAAAAATAATTAAAGGATTCTGGGCTGTCATTTGGCTTAATGATTAAGATGCTGCTTGGGGAGGCGCTGTGGCAAGGGAGAGGGACGAGCTGCCCTTCGTTGTCAGCCAGGAGCGAGGACACGGCAACGCTCCCATCCGGCTGCCCGCGATCACTCGGCGGCCGACATGTCAGCCGCCGGCGCCCGAGGCCTGCGGGCCACCTACCACCGGCTCCTGGATAAAGTGGAGCTGATGCTGCCCGAGAAACTGAGACCGTTGTACAACCACCCGGCAGGTCCCCGCACAGTTTTCTTCTGGGCTCCAATTATGAAATGGGGATTGGTGTGTGCTGGATTGGCTGACATGGCAAGACCTGCAGAAAAACTCAGCACAGCTCAGTCTGCTGTTTTGATGGCTACAGGGTTTATTTGGTCAAGATACTCCCTCGTAATTATTCCAAAAAATTGGAGTCTATTTGCTGTTAATTTCTTTGTGGGGGCAGCAGGAGCCTCTCAACTCTTTCGCATTTGGAGATATAACCAAGAACTAAAAGCTAAAGCAAACCAATAAAAGAGTTCCTGACCACCTGAACAATCTAAATATGGACATAACCACTGGGACCTATTTGATTATTGATAAGGCAATGCTAACTGTGCTAAATTTTAGAGGGCACACAAAAAAATTTAACTAACTGGTAGCTAGTGCTTGATTCAACAGAAAAATAAAGGAAACTTTTAATAACAAAAAAAAAAAAAAAAAAAAAAAAAAGATGCTGCTTGGGATGCCTGGATCCCATATTGGAGTGTCTGGTGCAAGTCCTAGCTCTGATCCGAATTCTAGCTTTCTGCCAGTGTGTGTCCTAGGAAGCAGCAGGTGATGAGTCAAATAAGTGTTTCCTTGCCATCTGTTTAGGGAGTGAACTAGCAGATGGAAGATCTCTCTCTTTCTCTAAAACACACACACACATTCACACACACATACACAGAAGGAATAGGGAAATCCTTATTTATGTCTTATACCTGAGAGAAATAAACTTGAAAATGTGAAAGTGACTTAAAATCTTTTGAAACCCAGATGGAGGGTTTGTATCCGTGATAATTTTGTTAGCAAAGGATTACTTGGTTCTTACTTTGCATAGCCTAGTTTGCTTTCCTAAATAGGCTTTCTCATTCTTCATGTGACCAGGCTGCATATTTTCAAAATATTAATTTCTGCTTACCTTTTAATTTAACTTTGGTATTTAAATCATTTCTCTCCTCTTATTTTATTACGAGAGCGAAGAAAAAGGGCATGAGACTTGTGGCATCTTGAATACAGATCTTGGGTCTGGACTAAGTAATAATCATAGACTTGGATAACACACGCATGCACACAAAAATACATTATTCAAGACTAAGTTTCTAGTGCACACATTTACAAAAACATAAATACTGAAAGCAAAAAAAATAGATTAAGCATAAATTACAGAGAAGAATTAAAATATTGAATATAAAACCTGAGTCTGAGCAATGTTTATAAAATAGACAGCTATATAGTTCAATCAATAAAAATGAATGACATGAAAACACACACATACACATATCCAATGCAATGAATAAGCACAAATCCTCTTAATATATATATATATACAAATCCTCTTATATATACACACACACACACACACACACACACACACACATATATCCCTTGACCCAAGTCGTTATGTTTAGATAAATGTGTGATACAGGTAGATTTTACATGTATAAAATCATTCAAGTACAAGCATTGTAATTGCAGCTTTCATTACAACAATAAAATATTCTAAATGATCAAAACAATCCAAAAATAGCTGGTTAAAAACTAACACAGCCATACAGGAAAAATAATATTGTGGAGGTAGATTTAGAAAGTAAACCAAAGAAATGGGGAATTGTTTTTTTTTTTTAATTTATTCAGAATTACAGAGAGAGGGAAAGAGAAAACACTTCCATCTCTTGGTTCACTACCCAAGATGGCTGTAACAACCAGGGTTGGGTCAGGCCAAAGCCAGGAGCCAGGACTTCATCTTGATCTCCCATGTGGATGGCAAGGGCCAAGTACTCGGACCATCTTCCACTGTTTTTCCCTGGCCATGAGCAGGGATCTGGATCATTAGTACAGCAACCAGGACTCAAAATGGCACTCATATGGGATGCTTGTGTCTCAGGCCGTGGTTTTACCTGCTAAGCCACAATAGCTGGCCCCCAAAATGAGGAATTTTATATGAGCTGACCTTAAAACACATTATGGTAAGTGGCAAGTGAATGTTTTGAGGGTTGTAGAATGATATCGCTTGTGGCCAGCGCTGTGGCTCACTAGGCAAATCCTCCGCCTTGCGGCGCCGGCACACCGGGTTCTAATCCCCGTCGGGGCCCCGGGTTCTGTCCCGGTTGCCCCTCTTCCAGGCCAGCTCTCTGCTGTGGCCAGGGAGTGCAGTGGAGGATGGCCCAAGTGCTTGGGCCCTGCACCCGCATGGGAGACCAGGAGAAGCACCTGGCTCCTGGCTTTGGATCAGTGTGGTGCGCCGGCCGCAGCGCGCCGGCTGTGGCAGCCATTGGAGGGTGAACCAATGGCAAAGGAAGACCTTTCTCTCTGTCTCTCTCATTGTCCACTCTGCCTGTCAAAAAAAAAAAAAAAGGAATGATATCACTTGTATATAAAGGCAGTGATAGTATGGCGTCTATGCTTATATGTGCCTCTTGACAGATCACTTATATGTGAAAGTATAAATACACATACACACATGAGAGTATTACAAAAGTGATGGAAAAATGGAACTAAAAGGTAAGTTTATTTTGATTGGTACTGCCTTAATATAAAATCTGGGGACAGCACTGTGGTATTGAAGGTTATACCTCTGTCTGCAATGCCAGCCTCCCATAAGAGAGCCAGTTTGAATCCTGGCTGCTCCATTTCAGATCCAGCTCCCTGATGAAGCACATGAGAAAAGCAGCTGAAGATGGACAATGTATTTGGGCCCCTGCACCCACATTGGAAATTCAGAAGTAGTTCCTGACTCCTAGCTTCAGCCTGGCCCACAACAGTGGTCACAACAGTGACCATTTGGGGAGCAAATGAGCAGATGAAAGATATTTCTCTTTCTCTCTCTCTCTCTCACACTCTCTCCTTCTCTCAGTATGTGTTGATCAAATAAAATAAATATTTTGAAAAATATAATAAAACCTGTTACTCATATGAACAGATCATTATAGTCAATAGTATATATTCTCCTGGGCATCTCTAAGTAAACTGTTTTTAGTATTCAAATAATAACCAAGAGCTTGCTAAAGGAGTATAAAATAAGAAATCTGTAAGGAGATTAAATGGACATAGAACAAGCATGACAAATATTGAGTAAAACATAATAAACACAAATTATCCAAGGGAGATAGTCTAGGTTTACTTATGTTGGACAAACTTGATTTTAAGGCAGAGGTGTCAGAGATCATCTCAACTATCTCAAGAAGTTAAAAGTATTTTAAATTTATATTCACATATTTACACAGCTTCAGAAGATATGAAGAAGAAATAATAGAATCAACAGGGGAATCCATAGTAATACAAACTGAACAGATTTTTTACTACACCTTACACAGTTGCTTATTTTTAAAAAGTAAGTATAGAGTAATTTAACACAGCGAACCCTATGAACTTAATTGTCATGCTTAGAATTTTACACTCATTGCTTCTCATTGGTTTAGATAACAGGAAATAAAGCAGGAAGAAGGCGACCTAGCTCAAATTTCTGAGTACTGGATGAACTTTCCCTCTGATAAAAACAGACACAATCAAATAAGTTTAGCATACACTAGGCAATTGCAGCAGGATCTATCAAGAGAATCTGATTTCATTCTTGGAATTCTCAGAGCAATGTGCAGTACATTATTACTCTAACTATCCAGATCAGAGAATGAAACAGAGAGATGTGACCAAGGCCACATCCACATCCAGGAAGTTGTGAATCCGGGGTTTGAACCTGGGTTGTCTAGTTTCAGAACACTTCAATTGACTACCTCCTTCTATCCTGCTCCCACTTCAATCTGGAGTGTATTGCGTCTCCTACAAAGAGCTGCTTGGAGAAGAGTGCACATCCTTTCATTGTCACTGGGCCAACAGTAGAGTAAGGGCTGAGAATCGTTGAGGTGCTTGGGGAAAACAAGCAAAACCTTCTGGGTGTTATGTATCTATCTTATCTATTTCTACACATGGACAACTTCTGCCTGAACTATGCTTAGTCCTTCAGACTTGTACAGTAGTACCCTTCTTACTGTGCTATGCCTCCTTGTTACCTGAGCCAGTGGATCAGAATCCTTAATTACTATTTTGCTTATTTCCTTCCACATCATCTGTTAACCTAATATCACCCAAAAGATCAACAGGGTTAGTAGTTTGGGCCCTCTGAGAAGATATGAAAATATGATGAAATGTGCAGGGAATTTGTTCAGGAGTATTGACATGAGAGGTAGTGGGGAGAGGGCCAGAGAAGCTTGGGGCTACTTAAGACCACAATGCAAGTCGGACTGCAAGTGAAGGAGAGAGGAAACAGGCAAGATAGAAGCATTGCAGCCTTCTGTGCAATCTGTTGTAGGTTCAACAAAGCCATTGTTTTTCTAGGCCGCAGAGTGTCATCACTGGAGTTATCTCTGTCTTTAATAGACTCATGTTTCAATACAACAGAATAGGAACCCAGAAATTGACTCATGTAGAGATGGTCAAATCATTTTCAACAGAATTATCAAGGGAAAAAGTATATATCTAAAAGCTATGAAATCATTATGTCAAAAAGATATCAGCACTCCCAAGTTTATCATAGCACCATTCATAATAGTTAAGATGTGGAATCAACCTAAGAGACCACCAGTAGATTAGTAAGATGTCACACACACATACAAATTATTTATTTATGTATATTAATGGAGTACTATTCAGCCACAAAAAAAGAATGAGGTCCTGTCATTTGAAGCAACATGGATGTACTTGGAGATGATAATAATATTCAGTGAAACAAGCCTTGTGCAGAAAGACAAATACCATGATTTCATTCATATGTGGAAACTGAACAATTTATAGAAGTAGAGAGATGAATTGTGGTTACTAGAGTCAGGGTAGTTAAGCAAATAGAAATGAGGAGAAATTGATTTAACAGGTATTAAGTTAAAGCCAAATAGGAGTAATCAGTTTCTGATATTGTTATCCTAAATGGTGATTAGAGTCAACACTATTGTACCATATAACTCAAAATAGAAGAAAATAGTATTTTGAATGTTGTCATCTGAGAGAAGTTGTAAATTTTTGTGATACTGTATAACTTTAATATCCTGATTGATCACATTCCAAAATACCACACTGAACTCCATAAAGATGTGCAATTACTACTGTCATTTCATTAAAAATATTAGACAAGGGACCTGAATAGGTATTTCTCAAAAGACAACGTGAAAGTGCCCAAGATATATTTAATAATGCCCACCTTTGCCAATCATAAGAGAAATTAAAATTAAAACCAAAATGAGATTTCACATCACAGCTTTCAGAATGGCTATTATCAAAAAGACAAAAGATAAAAAATGGTATCAAAGGCAGTACAGCAAAGATAACATTTAC